ATTTTCTAAAATTTAGCAGTGATTTCAGATTGGAGGCAGTGATCTATATAAGGCTATGGGAGATTCACAGTTTTTTAAAGAAATATACAATCCACAAAAGCTGAAATGTACCAATAATATTTGATTCTATGGATACTTCGTGGTGACATCATGCTGGAGGTGTTCCGCGTGTATCTCTATGGTGGAATGTTCAGATGTTACCATGGAGATGCAATGGACACATGGCAAACACTGTCAAAAAGGTGTTAAGACTGGCTGAAAACTCAAGAAAAATGCAAAATGGATGTAAACATGCAAGAGTTCATGGTCCTGGTTTGGGGTTTGATTTTCAACAACAGAGCAGTGCCTATAGTTAGCATCAAACCCCCAGGAAATGTGGATCACTGCTGAAAAGTATTAATAGAGACTAGCAAACAAACTACAAACTTGCTGTATTAATCTTATGGCTTAAAGTCCTTTCAGCTGACAGCAATGACGTCTTTGGAGTTGAGTAATGGCACCACTTTCTGAAGCTTTTGTCAAAACATCATTTAACTTCTGTTTATTTGTGTTGGCAGAGGAGATGTTGAACTCTGTGCCAGTTTTTTGTTTCATGTGGACAGTCCCAGTAATTAACCAAGTCAACAAATCTGCAATCTGACAGTCAAACCAAAATTTCACCATAGAAGTCTGACATGTCCTCCATCTCCATTTTAAAAGGTCCTATATTACACAGTATTGATTATTGTAAACTTTAAGCCATATTAAAATGTTGTTATCTCCTCAAAAACATACATCGAGATGGGTTTTGTTTCATTCACACATGTTTGAGTAACTTTTTATTATTGGTCTATCTACATCTCCAAAGCTCAAAATGCTCTGCTTCACCTTGTGATGTCATGAGGCGGTTGTTTTCAAGTTAACAGATACCATTTTACCTTTAGCTCAGTAGAGACTAGAGATGGGCATGATTAGTCAACTCATCGATCATTGATCATTAAGAATTTCCTCGATCACGTTCATTTTTATTCGACAAACCGAACACGCACATCGGTGTCATCAGTATGATCGGGTTTTTTGAGTGTCCCAGTTCGTCATGGTGCATGTATACACAGTATATTGGTTACTGCAACCTAAAGTTGAGTCACATGTGTCCAAAAGACAAACACTTTTCAGTCTTTTCATCAGAACAGGAGCCAAAATAAATAAAGTGACCAAAATAAATAAAGTGACCAACATAAATAAAGTGACCAACATAAATAAAGTGAGTGAAATGAGTGTTAAATAAAGGGCTGCACTAAACCTGCACACGTACAATCTGCACTCGTACGACCACCACACATAATCTCTGAAAGCATGAACCATGTCCAAACGCGATATACACACAGAACAGACTCATCATCATCATCATCATCATCACCATCATCAACATCCCTCCGTCACAGAGAGAACACTCATATTCCACTGAGTCGTGTCCTTTAGTCCAACAGAAGCTGAACTGCATCAGTGCACAAGGAAAGAGCTGTTTTTATCAGCACTTATAGCCGTTTTAAGTTTCATTTCTGTAAAATGTAAACAAATGTGTCAAAGCTGCATTAAACACATTATAATGTCAAACGGGCTGATGTGGCTCTATTGTGGTTATGTTATAAAGTTGAGTTTATTTATGCAGATTAGTAATAGTCATAATAATGATGATAATTTTAACATAAAAACTTTAATGATTAATCAAAAATCAATCATTAATTCTACTGATGATCGATTAAGAAAATATTATTGAATGCCCATCCCTAGTAGAGATTGGCAATCCTGGGGCTGACATGATTCTAGTGAAGGTGTATGGAGTTTAAAAACACAGTGGTGCACTTCTTGTATCACCACATGACATCACAAAGTGGAACAGAGTGTTTTCAGTTTGAATGGAGAACTCAGCCTAAACATGCAGGTGTGTTTGTGTGTCAAACATGTGTGAATGAAACAAAACAACTCCAGATATGTTTGTGATGAGGAAACATTATAACATAAATTAAAAAAAAAAAGATGTAATAGTTTCAAGTAAAGTGATTCTAGAAAGATGTTGCCACGTAAACGCAACTATTTTTGACAAATGCGTTCATTATTGCGTCATCTCTCCAGCCTCTCCCCTCCTGCTCCTCTCTCTCTGTCTTCTACCACGTCTCCTGGATGGGTGGATGTCTGTCTCCGGTATAATCTTATGCACGAACTGTCTTGCTGTTCAGTTTTGCCCCAATTATGTCACTTATGTCTGCACCAAATTGTTTTACGTCTTAGTCACCGTCAGTTATTAGTTTGCTTGGAGAATTGGAATAATTAGACTTTTCCGTGTCCTCAAAACTAGGGCCAGGAATCACAGGGTCCCTCACGATTCCATACAATACATGGCTCACAATACAATATTATCACAATATGGTGATACTGGTGATAATCGATACATTGCACATGATACTCTTTTGATATTTTGCAACAATATTTCTTTGTTAAAACACTGTTTATGCAAAGTTAATATGAAATACTACGGATGGGATGAGATCCATTTTCCACAAGATAAGACAAGATACGAGATTAGGCTGATAAAAATGAGACAAGACGAGATTTTGACATAATTTATGATAAAATAATTGTGTGATCCCATTTACAGTTTTGGCCTAACATTTTTAAATTTCATATTTTTGTTGTAGTGCACCTTTTTGGAACCACAGCTCCACAAGAGATGTCATTTAGCAGCCCTTAACTCTTTTTGTCCAGTCTAGATGTAAACTAAATGGAAAACATTCTCACGAGATCGATTTCCTCATGTGTGCACAGTCTTGCGGCAATTTTATCTCATGAGATCTTGTCCCATCCCTATGAAATACGTATATTCTAATCATCAAAATAGTGATTATGTCAAGTGTGTTGCATAAACAATTTTCCTTGGACTAAACAGGCTACACAGTTGTGGTCCAGTCACAAAACAATTGCTAAAAGATACCAAAAATACTACAATATATCGATACAGCAGCCCATGATAATGATAATGTATCACCAACTTTAGTATCATGCTATATCGATATTTCAATGTTTTTGCACATCACTACTCAAAACCACATTCTGAGTACAGTCTCAAATAATGCAATGCAAAACATCTGTTTACAAAATTACAGGGTTCAGTTGTAAGTAAGCCCACTATCTCTTTGCTCACCTAAAATATGTATTTATTGGACAATTTACCAAAATATGATTTAATGTAATTTGACATTTTGTAAAACTGTAAATTCTAATAATATATTTTATACACATTTCTGTTATGCCACCATTACATCATCCCTGCGAGCGTCCGCTTACACAGGACCACACGTAATTACTAAAGGCTATAAAGGCTGTCTCTCTCACACTGTGCCAATAATAATGTGACATTTACAACAGTGGTATGCAAAATTCAGCTCAACAATGTTATGGTTTCATTTTTTTTATATTATGATGCCAAAATAACACCACCGCACCCATGCTTTTCAGACGCTTTCTTCATTAGCATCCTTCAATACTCTCTGCATTCTCTTTCCAGACATTAATATTGAAAATAACTAATATTCAGTAAATTGTTCATTGTAATGGTGAGATGATTTTAGCTTTTTTAAATTTTTTGTTTCAGTGATGCCATCTTTCGTCCTATAATGCGACATAACAATACTAAACAGAGCTGTACACCAGCTATGTGTGTTAGTCAAAGAAATGGTGTTTTGTGATGAAAAATTCAAATAAGAAGCAGGTCTGGGTCATATGGGCGAGTAATAATTGGGAGATGATTTGGCAAAATGGTTCGTTTCAGTGAAGCGACCTTTGTTTCTATAATCGTACATAAAAAATGGCAACAAAACAACAACAAAAAATAAAAAAAACAAAACATTCTTTACAAAAAAAAATTATGTCAAAATTTTGTTGATTTGTAAAATTTGTCAAAACAATGATTCCACCACTATTCATTATGTTCTGTTTTTCTCAAGTGATGGTTTTCAGAATGATGAATTATAAGAATGAGTGCCATAGCAATTAAGAATTTAAAACAAAATGTTTTTTTGGTTTTTTTTTAAATCCTCAAAATGTTGCATATAACAGAAAACTGAAACTCATGCATGACTACTTTGCTTATCCATGGGTTTCAGAATGACGTAAAATTAAGACCATTGCTATAGCGATTTAGCCTGATTCATGAGCCGGTTTCACTTCGTGGAAACCGTCTGACCTGGCAGCGTTAGGATTCATTCGCTCGACAGTAGGCTGGTACTTTTTTATTTAACCAATCGCTGCTATTTGGTCGTGACGTATGTAATGCGTCAAATCCCGTAGGAAGAAAGGTTTTTCCCCTTGATAAAATTCACCAAACACTCTCTTTCTTCCGGCTTTAAATTCTCAATCTCGAGAATCGTTGCCAACACAGAATGTATGGATTCGTCTACATCCATCTCGACCGCTTTCTTTACTGTTGTGCTGTACCACAAAAGGGACCCAGACAGTCGAGGTTGACGTCATGGCTTCACAGCTCTTCTATGATTGGCCGGTACTCAAGTCTACAAAGTATGTAGTGTATTCCGATTCCTGACCTAGTCGCTGGAAAGAAATAAAACTGAGCGGAGGCACTAGTTGGCGCCAGCCTGTTTAAGAGCGATTAACAATTTAAAACAAAATATTACATCTTTTGAATGGGAAAAAAGTCCTCAGAATATTGGCTGCATATATTTAACAGGAAGCTGAAACCCAAGAATAACTACTTTGCTTCTCTGTGGGTTTCTAACTGATGAAATATTAGTACGATTGTCATAGTGATAAGCAATGTTAACAAATATATCTTTCAAATTGGACTTTTTTTTGGCCTGTAACAGGAAGCTGCAACCCCCTTTACAGAACACCGCTTTCTCTCTCTCCTTGATTTTTGACCTTGCTTTTTCCAAACCCCCAATTTTCACCCCAGGAGCCCGTCTCGTCCTTTATGTTGTGATACCAGACCCATGCCAGCCCCTTACCACGTATGCGCCACGGTGAACCTCCTCCTCTGACGAATGCTCTTGTTGACCATGAGCTTGCGGAACAGCCGGGGGGAGCTCCGGGGGGACAGTTTGGGGGACGTGGCACCCCTCCTGCCTCCCATCACCCCCGGCAACCTGGGCGGCTCCAGCTCCAGGTGCATGTGCTCTTTAAAAGTCCGAATGCAGGAGTCCATGTCCATCACGCTGAGCTCATTTGAAGACATCACTCCCCTCTTTTTCTCTCACTCTCTCGCACTCTTTCTCTCTTCTTCTTCTTCTTCTTCTCCCCCCCAAAACAGCTTCGGAGTGTGCCTTCACTTGGTTTAGTCTCAAGAGAGAATCATGAATGTTGGCTTCGATTTTGGTTTGAAATGTGAGAAAATACGAGCTACCTTTCAGGTCCCCTTTCGACAAATCTTAACTCTTTTCGGTTTTACTTCGCATCTTCTCCAGATGTGTCCTCCAACGCCGTAAAAAGCGAATCTCCCTGCTCTTATGAAAAATTGAAAAGATTTGAAAACTGCTCTTCGCTTGTCATGCTTTGCTCACATCAACAACTGCTCCACTGACCCCCCACCACCTTTCAGTCTTCCTTTTTCCAATCTCTTCTTCTCCTCCTCTCCTCAAAGGCACTCCCGGTATTGCATGAACCAGCTCCCTGCAAAATGCGCTGAAATCTCCGCTCCAAAATTCCCTCACCGGAGCAGCAGACACACGCAGTCCGATGGTTCATTCACAATATACACAAGCAGAGCGGAGCAGGCACGCAGGGAGCCCAGGCCACGCCCCCCTGCCCTTTGATTGGCCGGTGGTCGGTGTGACAACAGGCTCTGGGAGGCAGTAACAGGTTTTCACACTGTTTTTATTATTTATTTGTGGGGTTTAAGCAGAGGATTTGTGGTACTGTTGCAGATGATGTTCTAACCTTTTGGTGCGACAGACGAGATGGCAAAGGCTAAGACACACAGGGTAATTTGGAAGGGGAAAAACACAGCTAAGTGAAAGAATAGAGAGACCATGTTCTGAAAAACGGTTCAGAGCAGGTATTAAGGAAGTTAAGTACTATAGGGGGAAGTGAGTAATACAGAAAAAGAATGACGTTTACTACAGTGGAATTTTAAACAATATCACAGTATTTTACATAGAGGTTTCACATATGGATCTCCAAATGTATGGCACAAACCCTAACCCGAACTATCATGATGAAAAGATAGAAACTTAAAGGTCTAATATTACACAAACTTGACTCTTGTGAACTTTACTCGAAAACATACCCACAAAAGCAAAGTTCAAAATTCTCTGTTCCATCTTGTGATTTCCAGCTATCTTTTACCTTTCATTTAGTAGAGATCCGCAATTCCAGGGTTGAAATTATCCAAATGATTCTAGTGAAGATGTGTGAGGTTTAAAAAAACAGTGGAGCACTTCCTGTATGAGGTGAATGAAATCATAAGCAGTGTTTTCAGTTTGACAAAAGAACTCTGCTTCAGTATGCAGAGTTAAACGTGTGTGAATGAAACAAAACACAACTCCACGTCTGTTTGTGATGAGGAAACTACTTTATAACATAAATCAGAAATAGCATAATATTGGCCACTTAAAGGTGCACTGTGTAACCTTCTGAGTTATGGGTCCGCCACCATAGAGATATAATTGCTTTGACTGAAATGTTCCGCAGTATGGCATTAAGCATATCTATTTTGCATTTGTGCAATTATAGGTTTATTACATTGCTAAAAATACCTTAAAAAGCTGCATTGCCTCTCCACATACAGTAACCTGGTTCCATTTCTTCCTTCTCTCCATGGAGACAGACATTTAATGTCATACCGTGAAACATTCCAAGCAAAGCAATAGTATCTCCATGGCAGCAGGCAGCAGACCCTGTACCACAAAGGTTACAGCATATAGCACAGCTTTAAACAGGTCTAAAAAAACTAAAAAAACAATGACATCTAACGTAAAGCAGATACACTGAAATGTACTGAGTTAGGTTGTAAATATTGCAAAACTGATTAACAGTAAAACAGTATTTAACATTTGTTACTATAATATTTTTTACAGTTAGGGGGCATTATCCCAGAAATGTGACAGCATGATCTTTTTAGAGCTTAGATCATCAAGAACATTTATACAAGCATATTGCCTGCAGCCTCCTGCTGCTCTAAAACTTCACACTTCACTGTGATTGGTTAAATCTGTCTGTCACTCACTCGGGGGCATGGCAGAGGATGACTACTGATATAATTATAGATTGATAATTAGTTTTGGTCTTTTAGATTCAGTTGCTGTATTCACCCTTGTCAATTGAATGGCTTGTGTACTACACAACTACAAAGTCTTATTTTTGATAAATTATTTTAATATTTTTCATGCTAAACAAACCATATGTAACCTGCGCCTTAACAGATTTTTTTGTTTTGTTTTGTTAAATACTACAATCACAACTGAAGTTTGGTTGCCAGAGCTTGTGGCTTGTACTTGTACATTGAGAACACGTACAACCTTCTCTCATTCTCAGTATATATGGACAGGCAATGCTTCATGTATGAATTCACTCACTGAGCTGCACAGGCTGCACTAGCACTGATTCATGATTGGCTGCTGGTTTAAACCAATGGGATTTCAGCACTGAAACATCTGCGTTCTAACTGGATATTCCTCTTTGAATGAGATAAGATCATCATTACAAACTCCCTAAATAAACAATCCATCATGTCCAATGTTTTTTATAATTAATACATCAGAAGTGTTATGAGTAAAAGCTGTATTTGATTATATTGTAGGGTTAGGCAAAATAAGTGTTAAACTTCAGCCAGTCTGTAGAATAACTTTAGTGCGCTGTGTAATTTCTGTGTTAAATCATTGTAATATGATTAATAATTATGTTAACTGACCGAAGACAAACAAACACACTATATTTGATATGAACATGTCTAATGTTTGGGAACAACCATAGGGTTTGTTTATGAAATTTTAAATCAAAATCTTCCAAACAGCCCCAATATACTGTGCATTTAAAAAAGCCGTGCACATAACACGACTCTCACACGTGATGCTAAGAGCAGTCCGTGTTCCTGCTCGCTCTGAAATGGAAACAGTCCAACCATGATATTACCACAGTATGGGGCCACAAGAACAAGAGAACTGATAGACAAGTCATTTCGCTTCACAAAGAGCTCCAGTGTGAGTGGGACACATAAAAGGGGCAGAGGCCTGGAGGTAGAGAGAGCTGGACAGGCGCAGGGCTCTGGGAGAATGGCTCCAGGACGCATCTGTTTGGCTGGTGACTCACAGAGGATTTGTGTAAAAGCTTGCATGTACGCTTGTCTCTTTAAAGCTTCTATTTCTATTTTAAAGCGTGTATAAAGATGAGAACACTCGTAGTAATGGGCCTCTTGTATATGTGGGATTGGTGGGAAGAAATAGGAGGTTTGGATGGTGGCCCGTTTAAGTCATTTTGTGCTGGCCAATGGTGCATGGTAATCCTAGTAACACTGCAAAGAGATGCCAGGCACATCTAGTGAGGAGAGGTGGAGAGTGCAGCAGGAAATGGATAATGTTACAATGTTGTTTTGGAGATACACATTTAAATTTTAAGAGTGAGTTGTCTATAATTAAAAGTATAATTAAAGGTACTGTATTTTTCAGACTATAAGGCGCATCGGATTATAAGGCGCAATCTCTGGGCATCTCTGGTACTGTACTAAACTGGTTCAAGTCCTATCTAGAAGACAGGAAGTATTTTGTTGAAATTGGAAACTGTGTCTCAGATGACATGGCCCTGACCTGTGGGGTGCCTCAGGGGTCAATCCTGGGCCCCCTGTTGTTCAATCTCTACATGCTGCCATTAGGCCAGTTAATTAGCAGCAATAACGTGTCGTACCACAATTATGCAGATGACACTCAGATCTACGTCTCTCTGGCAGCAGGAGACTATGGACCAGTGGAGTCACTTGGTCACTGCATCCAACAGATCAGTGTGTGGATGCAAAACAACTTTCTCCAGCTAAACTCTGACAAGACTGAAGTCATAGTGTTTGGTCCACAGAAACAAAGGGACAGTGTCAGCATCACCTCCAGTCTCTCGCTCTAAAACCTTCAAATCAGGCAAGAAATCTAGGGGTAATAATGGACTCAGACTTGAACTTTAACAGTCACATCAAATCAATAACATCTGCAGCCTTTTACCATCTAAAAAACATAGCAAAAATCTAAGGTTTACTGTCTAAATCAGACTTGGAGAAACGTATCCATGCATTTGTCTCCAGTAGGTTAGATACTGTAATGGTCTGCTCACTGGTCTCTCCAAACGAGCTGTGAGACAGCTGCAGAACATCCAGAACGCTGCAGCTCGGGTCCTTACTCGAACTAGGAAGTACGAGCACATAAGTCCTGTGCTCAGGTCTCTGCACTGGCTTCCTGTGCCTCAGAGAATAGACTTTTAAAGCAGCTCTGCTTGTGTACAAGTCTCTCCATGGCCGAGCACCAAAGTACATCTGTGACATGTTAGTGTCATATGAACCATCTCGCACTCTGAGGACCTCAGGGACCGGCCTCCTGCTGGTGCCCAGAGTCAGAACTAAACAAGGGGAGTCAGCGTTTCAGGTTCATGCAGCTAAAACCTGGAACAGTCTGAACATGTGAGACAGACTCTTCTGTGACGCTGTTTAAATCCAGACTCAGTTAGACATTTCTGTTTAACTGTGCATATAACTGAAAGGTTTTCATTCCGCACTCTTCTCTCCAATTTATGTCTCTCTTTTTTAATTTTAATCTTCATGATTATTTATGTTTTGATTTGTTTTTATTATGATTTTAATGTATTTCTTATTCTGTAAAGCACTTTGAATTACTTTGTGTACGAATTGTGCTATACAAATAAACTTGCCTTGCCTTGCCTATCAGTAATGTTGAATTCTCTCGTCTATTTTCACACATAAGGTGCACCGGATTATAAGGCACATTAAGCGGAACAAAAGGACGACACTTGATGCCTTAGCCCCAATATCCACAGTCCATACACGCATCAAGAATCTCGGACTTCCGGTCATTGCGCAATGCATACTGGGAAGGATTTTCCGAAAAGGTGAGCATCAAACCGCCATGTTTGATTTCCCAATAGGATGCGTCTATTGTCAAAGCCGATCTTTTCTAGTCTTTTGAACCATATCGCTTTTGTTTCTGGTTCTGATATTGTCATATTTTAGTTGTGGGATTCGGACATCATTAATTGTGT